GTGAACAAGTCTTGCATATTTCTTAGACCACTGTTTCCCAGAGAAAATTATCAAGAATTTTCTCCAGAATGGGCCAACAGTGGGCAAGAGCACTAGGTCTAGAATCAGGAAGACCTGAGTTCAAATTCAGCCTTAGACATTTACTAGCAGTGTGACACCGGGTGAGTCACTTAATCTCTGTTTGCCTCATTTTCTTCATTTGTAAAATGGGGATAATAATAGCATCTACCCCCCAGAGTTACTATGAGGATCAAATGAGCTTTACAAATATGTAAAGCACTTTGCAAATCTTAAAACACCAAGTAAATGCTAGTTCTTCTTCTTCTTTACTACTACTACTACTACTACTACTACTACTACTACTAGTACATTTGCTTTGAAAGAAAGAGAGTCTAGTACAGTGGGCAGCTACAGTTTGCCTCAAAGTGGATGATAAAGCCCTTGGCATTGGCTATACAGTAGCACTAGACCTCATCCAATTTCCCTCTGAAAGGCCCAAGTCACCTTGCCCAGACTACATGGGAATGCTCTTTGTTTTCTTTATTTTCCTACTAGGGACTGTTGCATTCCAAGTGTCATACAGCAAGGTGAGACCTCACTACTATCTCCCAGTCCTACCACCCCATGATAATTGCTAGAATTTCAATGTGAGCATTTACACCTTGGGGCTTAATGCTACAAATCAGAGCTTGATTTGTTTTGTTGATTGCCTAGGCTTGAAAAAATGATGGAGAAAATATTAATAATGCAGATGAAAGTTAAAATTGCATTGTGGGTAAATTCCTTTCCTCACATCCCCTTCAAGTTGGCTATTAAATATTTGCCAGCATACACTTGGTGCCAGAAGATTTTCCCATGATGGTAGAATTTGGATTCAGAAGCCTTGCACTGGGCTTAAGGATTCAACTCACTTTCTGAAATTAGGAGGTAACATTCATGGGACATAGGAAATAAGATGCAGGCTTTGTCTCTTGCCCATAAGGTAGGTGGACTGTTTCACATCAGTGTTTTTAATGTTTTTGTTTGTGAAACAAGGGAGTGATCAGGGAATCACTTATCAGCTGGGCCCCACAATCTGCCTGATGGAACTTCGGGACATAAGGGGCAGTCAATAGACAACAAAATATAAGAATGTACCCTTTCAGACTTTGAGTGGGCCATTTAGACCTTGTAAGGACATTAAACTTTTGAGTGGGTCCAGCTGAAGCCGGGAGAGTAATATCAGACTGTGAGACCAGGGTTGATGGGATGCTGCTTCTATGGAAGCTCAGATGGGTGCTACTTTGATGCTTGGCTGTAGTCACCATTGAATCCAGTCTCCGGCTCATCTGACATCCTGCTCTTAGGTCCTATTATGCATTCTTGGACCCACATGCTAGAACCATGAGAAATGTCAGCTCTGAGATCTGCTATCTTTTGGTCAGGCTCATAACTCCAGGTGTCAGAATTTTGATTCCCCTCACCAACACAACTCAACTTGGCAGCTAAACTTTCCTCTCATATGGCATGTAGTTTGGGTCTCCTACAACTATTTGCTTCTACTGTAAAATACCAACACACTGGGTGGGGAGAGGAGAAAGAAATCTCCCTCTGTTAGCCCCAGTGTGTTCTAGGAAACACAGGGAAAAAGAAAAGTGAGTCCTTAAGCGCTTCTTCATGAGTCAGACTTTTTCCTCTCTTCTTGACTGTCTTGGAGTAGAGTTAGTTTCAGTGTAGGCCACAGAAGGGCATTGATAATAATTTTATTCAATCATCAATTACCCTTATGCAGAGGTCAACACTCTATTACAAGGTGCAAATGGGCCACTCAACACCTGAAAGGGACGTTCTCTTCTACCTCATTATCTGTTACCTGATCACTCCATCCTTCAATTTCATCAAACTGACTGGGTGAATCAGTTGATCAGGGTTTCCTTAACAAACCCTCTTTTTACTCATCTTTATTTGTTATAAGATCAAAACTTGACTCCTCAAAAGGAATGAGCTTTATGACAAAAAACAACTGCAAAAATATAAGAAAAAATAACTTTGTAATTAAGCATACATAACAAATGTTCTTCATAGAAATCACATACATAACTATTTGGAATATCAGACCATGTGTTTCATATGCCTGTTATAAATAATGAGCAATATGGTTACTGAAGTGGATGACCAATCACTAGGAAATAACAGATTCGTCATACAAATATAATCCCAGGGGACTCTCTGTGAGACATAGTACGTGCTTGTTGACTTGAATTGGTTTGAATCTATCAAAGCAGCAATGACCTCCTGCTCTGGTGGGAGTGTGCACGTGTACTCACATGTGCTGGTGGGAGGCAAGGGGTTAGGCAGAGGGGGCATTTGCCAAAAATTCTTCTTATCCTCTGACTTTCCTAAAGCAACAGGTTTTCTTCCCATCACGAGTAGTAGGAAAGCTACCAGTGCAGAAATAGTACTGTACTTCTTTGCAAATGGAATCCTACTATTGATTTTCTGTCATGAAACATGTTGATGGTTCTGTATTCATCATCAATAACTTTAGGTGAAGTTCTTCTTACCTAAAACTCTTATTCAGATTTTTACAAAAAAATTCTCTTTGGGGAAATTTGTGTGTGTATGGCAGAACTTTGTAAAATGTGGCTGACGTGTCTGTGTGTGTGTGTGTGTGTGTGTGTGTGTGTGTGTGAGACAATCCCAAATTGCCTACTCTGGGAGGAGGGTGAGGAGGCTGGGCCCCCAAATAGTATACTGGGTATATTGCTTCCTGTACCTACACTGAGAGATGCTGTGGGTACCTGCTTTTCTGTGGCTTTCCATGGGTGATGCCTCCCTTTGCTAGGCACACCTTGAACCAGGTATTTATTTTTTTCCTCAACCCAGTGTAGCCTGGGAGGAGCCAGATGGCCCTTACTTGATTTTCTTCGAGGATACTGTCAGCTCACATACACTTACTGTACCTGCAGGAGGCTTAGAAAATTAGTCATCTGAAGCTTCAGAGTGGCCAATTCTTTATCTGACTGCCAGGAAGTGGAAGTTGGGTTTTGCCCCGCTTTGGAGCACAGGAGGGCACATTCTTTCACTATCCAGAGCTCTCTCAGGAAACTAGGAATGTTCTTAAAATGAAATGTAATTCTGCCTGCCCTGCAGACAATTTCCAAACTACATTTTTTTTTTCAGCAAAGGAAAAAATATCTTGACCAAAAAAATTTTTTTTTAAAACAATCTCAAACAATTTAAGTCTGGGTTATGTGGATACATAAATTTTGAATCAAATTTATCATGAAGTATTGAAGGTGATCATAGACAATTCTTGACATGAACTATAAATGCTGATTCATTACAAATATACTGAGTTCTACCTGCTCTCTACCCAAAACATAGCTGTCCATTAGGTTGAGAAAAGAAGTAGTATTTTTATATATGTGGAAATTTGTTTTAAGCATAACTAAAAGATACATTGGGAATAAAGGAGTGTCCTATTTGATGTTACATGTTCTTTGAAAAACATCATTTGAGTAAATAAAATATTCATTTAATGTTGTGATAGAAGCCTTTGTTTGGAACAGCTGCAGGCTAACCATTATCTAATAAATAGACCTGATCCAGAAGGTTGAGATTATGAAAGACAAAAGATAACTATGCACTTGCCTACAATTCCCAACACAAAATGTTCTTTGAAGGAGATGTGGGAATCTCAGTTCTAATTAGATTTAGTTTCTATAATTTGAATATATTATCCTAGTCTATATCCCTCTGTGTGGTTAAGTTTGTATTTTATGGGTGTTTGACAACAGAGAGATTTCCAACAATATAAAATAGTTTTGAGGGAAAAAGTAATAACATTTCTCATTTTTGCTACATCAAAGACAGATCCAATCATTTCTCATAATCCATGGCACCATTTTCTTAAGTATTCATCCATCCACACCCTTTAAATAACATCCTCCACAAACAAGCAAAACATTAAATATATTCTAGGCAAAACCAACAGCTGCTGAGCAAATCTCTTGAAACCCATCACTGGGAAAGGCCAGGGCTATATCACTGTAACTGGCTGGACCAAAGGAAGCAGGAAGGATGATGGGAAAGAAACAGGCATATGGAAAGCTAAATGGGCCAATCTTGGTCTGAAAAGCTGCCTCAGAAGAGGTTTTCTTTTCTCAAAGTTCTGGGACATACAATGGAAGCCTCACAGAAATAAGGGGCACAGACTTATAGTGTTTTTGCTGAGCACAGCTGTTGGCTAATTGTGATTGGATTATGGTATTTATAGGTATGTGTATTGTGCACGTGCTAGGGGATGGAGAAGGGATTGTTGCTATCAGTCCTTCAGATGTATGTCCAGAGCATTCCTTAACATTCTTAAGACTGAATAGCAAAAAGAAAACAAAATGAAATAAAAATATGATGTCTAAATACTAAAACAATGAGGCTCCATCCAAAGAGCCCCACGTTTAATTGAAGATTGCAATTTTAGAACTGGAAGAGACCTTAAAAGCCATCGAGTGCAACACTGTCATTTTATAGATGAGGAAACCAAAGAACATAGGTGAATTGCCCAGGGTCATATAGCTAGGAAATGTCTGAGGCAGAGTTTGAAAGCAAATCTTCCTAACTCCAAGCCTAATACTTTATCCACCATACACCTGGCTTCCTCTATTCACTGCCCTTTGGGCTGTGCCACTTAGCTACTCACTTTTCCTGTTAGAAAAACAAATCACACAAGCTAGAGGAACATAAAAGGTCCATAGCTAATTGCATTCATGGAATCATAAATTTAGGGACAGTGATATGGTAAGGTGGATAGATTGCTGGCTCTGGAGTCCGGAGGACCTGAGTTTAAATCTGACCTCAGACCCTGGGCAAGTCACTTAACCTCATTTACTTCAGCTTCCTCATCTGTAAAATTAGCTGGAAAGGGGAATGGCAAACAATTCTTGCATCTGTGCCAAAAAAAAAAAAACCCAACCCAAATGTGGTCATGAAGTGTCAACACAACTGTTGTTGTTGTTTGTCTTTTGTTCTTGAAGAGGACCATGACATCAGGGAAGTCATGCCATGACACGCAAATAAACTGGATTTAAGTGACGGAGGGTGGTGCAAAGTCAAAACAACAATCAAAGTTAAACACACAAAGGCTTAGGAATCACAATTTGTGCTGCTAAGAATTAGAAGGAAAAGGTCCAATTAGGGGAAAAGGAAAAGGGCTTCTACCTTCTCTGTAAGGGGAAGAGAAAGAAGGAAGCAGCAGGTATTTTTAGAAAGGTGGTAAGGAAGTTATATGATATTTACTGAAAATAAACGGTGACCTCAAGGATTCACAAGTGAATGACTTTTTTTTTTTTTGACTTCCCAATGGGATCCTGGTCCTAGTTAATCCTAGGAAGAAGGAATCTAAAGCACAAATAGGTTTATTTATTAGTTTCCTCAGTGCCTAGCCTGGTGTGACTTGACCAGAGAGGAGAACTGGGGGAAGTTTCAGCTCTCTGTAAAGAAGACAGCAATTCAAACAAACAACTAGAATGGCTTGTTTCCATGAGACAGTGAGCTACCTTTCACTAGAGTGGATGCTTAACTAGAATCTTGTTAAGGGGCTTCATCCACTGTCCCAAGGAGTTGGCCTAGATGACTTCTAAGATCTCTTCCAAATCTAAGATCCTTAAATTCTATAAACACTTGGTTTGAATTGAATGTTTAGGAAAAAATGCCCTTTGTAAGTTGTTTTCTGCAGTTGTGGAAGAAGGGAACACAAGGGCAAGAGAAAGTAGAATTTTCCCTCATCATAAACAAAGGAAGGACAACTTCTGCTGACTGAGGAATGCTTATTTTTGTTCAGTCTCCCCCTCCAACTAAATGAAATCTTTGTAATCACTGTAGCTCCAATTATAGTGGAAAAGTTGGTGTAGACTCATGACAGGCCCTGTAATATTAAAGGAGAGCTCACCTGTAGATTTAGCTATTTGTCTTCATTTGGCCATGAAAAAAGAGAAAATGGCCCTGAACCAGAGACTTTCACACAGCCTAGAGTCCCATCTTACATTGACTCAATTGCTCTGGCCCAAGGGCAGGATTGCTCTCTGGGATCACATTAAGGTTTCTTCAGTTGCCAAGTCTAGCCTGGGGAATTTGTATCCCTTCCCACCCCTTATGTGGCCAGTGACCCTGCTTTTATGAACAGTGTAATTTATTGAGAAGAGTTCTTCAAAGCCTACCTACACACATGACCAAAGAATCAGAAATTCTCCTGGCATATAACTCCCCAATGGCTTCTGGTGTGCATCAGTACATTTCATCTCTTTACCATATGCAGTATTCAACACAGTTGTGTAAAAGAAGAGGGAATTTGTTCCTATAGTACGCAGCACTTTTTACTCTGAATGTGGTACTTACTCAAAAGCAAGGCAAGGACACTTTAACAGTCACATTTTGGGTTTTAAAAGCTGCATTATATATACCAGCAAATAATATAACTCTGCTTTCTCCTTGGTCCCTACTACTTCATCCAGTGACAGCAAAAAACCTTATATAATTATTGATATTTAAAAATGATAGGACCTCATTAATGTTAGACAAATTACATACTATTTTAGGGAACCTCCCCTCCTCCAAAAATCTTGACCAATTGGTTAGGAGCTTCTGTTCCTTTAGTTACATCTTTCAGTTACATACTTTTCTGTATTAGGAATCACAGAGGATGAGAAGGCACAGACAAGTTATCATCTGGATTAGTGAAGGAAGTCTCTTCGTTGATGAAATTATGGCTCCAAATATTAGCCTTTTGTCATTTTGTATGTATCTATATACATGCATGTTGCTTCCCCCATTAGGCTATAAACTCCTTGAGGGCAGGTTCTATTTCACTTTTATCTTTTTGTATCCCTAATGTCTAGTACATAATAGATGTGTAACTGACTGATTAATCACTTTTTTGTAAGTGCATTTGGCATCTTCTCACCTGGCAAATTATCTTGTGTTTTGGGGACATTCTCACAGATTTTTGCAAAATGAACAGATTTCTGATGGCAAAACTCTGGAATTTTCTTTGAATCCTTTAGCTGAAACAAAAGGAAACTAACGGAGAAACTTTGACTCATTAACCTAACTGGCTTAGGCTAGGAAACATATCAGTCAGTCACTGGTCTACTTACCAATAGATAAGGAGGTGGGATGTTAAAAAAGTATTTGGAAGCAAAGAGGTACAAGGGTAGAAAGCAAGGGGAAAAGTTAATAAAATAAAAATCTATCTTTTAAATCCCCAGTGCATTTTTTTCTTTCCATCATTCAAATTCAGGAGGGAATCAACCTTTTCTTCTCCTACTTTTGGCATGAAATACTTAGGCCCTACTAAGGATATAAGTCTTTGTGAATTCTTGAGTCTCTTGTCTCAGTTCTCTTTGGATAGTCCTCTCCAGAACCAAAGTCTAAGACATCTGGGTAGTTGGTAAATTCCTGAGGTAATGGGAACTCTTCTGCTGACGAATGAGTCCGGTGCCCAAACACCTTCTCCTGAAGTTCTGCGATATCATTTCGGACGTCGGCCATCATCAGCAAGAGGAAATCAAAAGAACCAGGGGGTCCCTATACATTTAGAAGTAGAACTCAGAGTCAGAATATTGTAGCCTCAAATCTAGTCAATACCTGAAGTGTCCAAAAGTGGTTTAATTTGCTAAGATCTACTGCTCAATGTCAACTGCTAACTTCATGGGAAATGCATTTGCTAAATTCTATTGCTCAAGCTGGGTTGTCCTGGGCATGACAATAATCAATCAGAGGTTCTCAAACCTTTGAATTACATGTGACCTTGGGCAGATTATTTAATCCTTTAACACCTTTGTTTCCTGATTTGTAAAATGGTGATGGAGTTGGAATGATCATCTCAAGAGATTCCCCAGAGTACAAGTATTAAAATCTACTTTAAAGGCATTTTGCTCTGTGAATGACTGAGCTATTCTTAGTTACACTAAGTAAATTGAAGGCAATTTACCCAGGACTCATAATGAAAGATGCTATCCATCTCCAGAAAAAGAACTGAAGGAGTCTAAATGCATATCAAAGCGTACTTTAAAAAAACCTTTTATTATTTTATTTTTCTATTTTTTTTGGTTTATGTTTTCATTTGCAACATAGCTAATATGGAAATATATTTCGTATGACTTCACATATATAACCAATATGGGGTTGCTTGCCTTCTTCGGGAGGGGGAGAAAGAGAGGGAGGTAGAGAATTTGGAACTCAACATTTTGAAAAATGAATGTTAAAAATTGTTTTCACATGCAAATGGAAATGCAAATTTAAAGAATAAAAAATTATGTTGTCAGTTTTACATACATGGAAAATGACAATAATTTAAAACTAACATGAGAGCACATTAAAAAGAAATTAGTCTTTTAATAATTAAGAAAGAATCAAAGGATTTCTAGTTTTGTATATAGTGCACACATTATATTACTTTCCATTGTTAAAATATTTATTTATCATTAAATCCATTTAACACCATTTAGTCATCACCACCTCTGGTGATATGAGAAAGTTTAAGCAGACATTTCCCTTTTCTTCTGGGAAAGAACAATCTCCAGCAGACACTACAGGTGCAGCCTGTTAAATATTAGTTAAGTTTATGAATTTTTTTCTAGAACTTTGATGAGTCTGTTTCTGGTGGTGATGGTGTCTGTTTTAGATTGTAAGCTCACAGAGGGCAGAGGTCATATGCATTTAGCTTACTTTGTAGAATGTTCCCAAGGAACACCATTAAGAAGCAGGTAGGTTCCTTAATGCCAATAAAGAGATCTTTGTTTTATACGGTCAAAGCAGTGGTTAGGTTTATAGGATGTTGGGACTGAGTGGTTTTTTTAAAAAAAAGTTTTTTCTTTTCTGATTTTTTCTTCTTTTAGACTTCTCAGTGTTCACAGAACACCTGGATAAGAGGCATAGCAAACTAGGGTTTTAAATCTCCCAGAGAGGGCCTTCTACCTAAAGCAGGGGTTCTTAATCTTTTTTGTACCACAGGCCCCCCACCTCCCTCCTTTGGTAGTCTGGTGAAGTCTATTGACTCCTCAGAATAATGATTTTAAGTGGAAAAAATAAAATACAGAGGATTACAAATAAATCAATTGTTCTGGAATTCATTGATTGAAATACTTTTTAAAAAAATTTCATGGACTCTAGGTTAAGAATGCCTGACCTCAAGATTAGCCATAATTTAAGAAAAAAGAAAAACAACTGCACTGGCTTCAGTAGATCTTTTCACAGTAATAAAACCCTATTCAGAAGAACCAAATGAGAAAACAAGGAGGCCATCATTCTTATCCAAGTCTACACTGATTAAGGGTCATTCAAAAGCCTTTCCAGTGAACGTCCTAGCTTGGTAAGATCAGACAAATAATGCACTTACTGGAGATCCTTTGGGCCCAGGAGCTCCTCTCTCACCCTAGAAAAATCAACAACAGGATTGCTATCAAGAACAAGTATTTACTATTTCACTTTCTACTTAAAAAATAAGAAAGGAAAAGAATATAAAAACATCAAATAACAAACTTTTATGATTAAAACCAAATGTAAGGCAGCAGCTGTGCCCCAGGGACCCACTTATTTGTACACAGTTGCCCAGGTCCAATGTCTCAGATTTCCCCCAAGGCTATATATTTCCAAACCAGGTTTGACAAAAGGAGTACACATATCCCCAGGCAACTTATGGAGTTACTTGCAAACTTTGAAAACTAACTCACGTTGATTCTCCACTCCATCCCTCTCCCTGCTCCACTTCATGAAGTGCCACCCATATTAGAGAGCAGATAGTTCTTAAAGTAAAATTACCAACTAGTTTCTGGAGTCAAATATATTAAAAAATGCAAAAGCCTAGCAAAAGTTTTTGGCTAAAGAGAAAAGAATGTATTATTATTATTATTATTATTGCATAGGGGTGAGTTTAAAATAGGACTGGGGAATTTTCTTTGAGATTTTTCAATTTTCTCCATGAGATATTTTTCTAATTTTCCTCCCAACTTTCATATTTCAATGAAAACCTCTGTGCCTCAGTTTTTCTCCTCCCCTTGGAAAATGAGAATGTTAAACAATGCTTGAGGGTCAGTTGGTACCTATAGTTTTGATGGTAAAGAAGTTTTGAGCTTGCAAAGACTGAACTTTTAGCTCATACCTTGGAACCGTCTCTTCCTGGTGCACCTGGTGGACCCTAAAAGACAAAGGAATCCTGTTAAAAAGAAAAGGAAATGAAAACAGAAAAAGGAAATCCCCATAGTAAGTGGATTGGAAAAAAATACTAACCACAGGGCCTCTCCGGCCTTGCTTAATATGAGAGAGGTCAGGAGATGGTCCAATGGGTCCCATCGAGCCCCTGGGGCCAGGTTGTCCAGGAGGCCCAGGTACCCCAGGAAATCCAGGGCTTCCTTTTGGTCCAGGAGACCCTGTAATTGAAAGACATCCTGTAAATTCTAACAGCCTGAGACATGAACACTGGGAGTAGGTAGATTCCTATGCCTCAAAGGTCGATTTCAGGCAATTGTTTCTCTAGCTAAGTCTTCTAGCATTCTATTCTGATTCTTCTAGAGCAGGGGTTCTTAAGCTGTGGATCTGTAAACTTTAAAAAATTTATTTTGATAATTATATTGATAACTTCAATAATTTAACAAAATTGGTTTAATTGATAATCTGATATGTTTAATTTTATTCATTTAAAATGTTTTTTTTTAAAAAAAACTCATTTTTCTAAGAAGAGGGGTCCATAGGCTTTATCACATTGCCAAATAGGTCCATGACATCAAAAGGCTAATGACCCTTACTCTAAAGCTACCTTTTACTACCTTTTAGCATGCTTCCATCTTAGGTTATACTAGGTAACAACTAGCAAAAGAATGTGGTTTTCAGGTCCCTGAGAAAAATTCTAGAATTTTCAGATTGTGTAGATGTCAAATTAGGGCCAGACACAGGTCAGAGAATAGACAGGCTTAAACTTGTCACTCATCCAGATTTTGAATTCCATTTCCAGGTATATGGCTGGGAAGGAGATGAGTTTCTTCCTTTGATTCAAAGAATTTCTTCAACAGCCCCTCCAGGACCAGTGCTTTACAAGAGTTTACACAGTGAATAAACTCATCAAGAAGCACTGCCTTACCAGCCAAGCTACAATTACATGTGTGGGGTGGAGAGCTCCATACCCTTCAATTCTATGGGGGACAATGAGTACAAGAGCCTGGTTTCTAATCCTAGGAATTGAGCTTTGCCAAATATTTAATGATAACCTGAGGTCTTTGCTTTAATAAATCTGTTTATTCTGTGATTGAATTACCTTAAGATGGAGAACCCCAATATTAATTAATTGAACAGCAATTAAGAATTAATTAATTATACAGAAATCTTATTACCCCTTGAGCTGCCCTAATAAACCTCAAGAACAAGTTTTAAAATGTTAAAAGCAAAGAATTAAGACAAACCAGAAATTCATGGAAAAGCAAAAGTAAGCTTTGTGAATAGGTGCAATGCATATGATTAATCTTAACTCAATCATAAACTATGCAAACATTTAATGTGTTCAGATCATTACTGTATACAATGGTTTCTCCTTTTTTCTGTCTTCTAGAGCTATTACTGCACTTCATCACAAATATGGCATGGTAGAATGAAATTGAATTTGGAGTCAGAGTATTGAAATCCCAGTTCTGACATTTGCTACTTGGGTATGTCACTTAATCTCTCTAGGCCTCAGTTTTCTCACATGAAATTGAGCTATATGACTGTTTAGGGTCCCTTCCAGTTTTGTTTCGAGTGGAGATTTTGGAGTGTGTTTGAGAATCCAAATCCAGTACTCTGGACAGCTCAAGCCAAGTTAGAAATCAGAGGGCAGAAATGAAAACAATCCAGAAAGTTGGGACATGAATTCAAGAAGGAGAAAGATGGTAATTTTTTCTCTTGGCCCTATAGTTCATCCCTGCTATGGTTTTAAATCCATACACACATACATACATAACACACATATACATACACATACATATGTATATATGTGTGTGTGTAAATATGTATATAAAATCAGAAATGACCTCCCTCCACTGAAGCATGAGTGTCCCAAGGTTTGAAGAGAAGAGAGAAGCCTATGATGGAAGTAAATTCATAAGAAAAGATACCATATTCATTAATAAATGGCAAGATGCCCATATAAGAGATTTTCTAAGAAGACTAGAAAGTAGGTTGGTCATAGGACCTTACCTAGGGGAGATACATGGAGATGAAAGCCAATACCAACTCTCATTCTGTGAAGATGTATACTAAAAATTGCTCCTACCACATTTAAGGAAAAACAGAGGATTAGGACAGAATCAAGGAAGATTAGTTTGTCCCTGCCTCTACTTTTTTTCCTGACTCATTTCCCTCTACCAAATCATATCCATCCTTCAAGGCTCAGCTTAGGCCCTGCTTCTTCCATGAAGCCTGCCCTAACCATTCCTATATACGATGACGTCTCCTTTTTTCTGACCTCTAGTACCATCCATTTTTGTACTTCATGGTAGAATGAAAGAATGTTAGATTTGGAGTCAGAGAATCCGTATTGAAATCCAAACTCTGGCACTTGTACCTGTGTGTCCTTGGGCAAGTAATTTAATCTCTCTGGGACTCAGTTTCCTCATTTGGAACTGTGCTTTATGACTGCTTACGTTCCCTTCCAGTGTCAAATCTATTATCATCTCTTCTTCTTAGATTCCCTGGACTTCAAGTCTCAGCTGAAGTCCTACCTTTCCTGTTCTCCCCAACCCTCCCAGATGCTAATATCTTCCTTATTCAGATTACTTTCCATCTACACTATATGTATCCTGTATGTAACTAGTCATGTTGTCTCCCATGTTAGAACATGAGATCCTTGAGGGCAGGAATTGTTTTTGTTTTTTGAGTTTTTTGATTTTCATTGTATCCCCAGCACTTAGAATATGGCCTGGCACATAGTAAGCATTCAATAAATGCTCATTGACTGACTGATTGATCACAATTATATCTGGCTACTTTATGTGTATACGCCATTAAAATTCAAATTTATTTTCAGTTCTGAATTCTCTCTCTCAATTCCACTGAGAATGCAAGAAAAATAAAACAAATATGTATAGTTAAGCAAAACAAATTACTACACTGGCCATGTCTACAAAAAAAAAAAAAAGAAAACATGCTTCAATCTACACACTGAGTCCATCAGTTCTCTTCTGAAGTAGATAGCATGTTTCAGTTCTTTGGAATTGTAGTTGGTCATTGTGTTGTTTAGGGTTCCTTTGTCTTTCAAAGTTATTTATCTTTTTAACAGCATTATTGTATAAATTGTTTTCTTGGTTCTGCTTACTTCACTCTGAATCAGTTCATACAAATCTACTCCAGATTTTGATGGAATTATCCCCTTCATCATTTTTGATAGCACAATAATATTCCATCATATTCATATACCATAACTTGTTCAGTCATTCCCAAATTGATGGGCACCCCCCCAGGTTCTAATTCTTTTCTGCCACAAAAGAGCTGTTATACATAATTTTGTAAATATAGGTCCTTTTCCTCTTTCTTTGACCTCTTTTGGGATTCAAACCTAGTAGTGGTATTGCTGGGTCAAAAAGTACACACATTTTAATAGCCTTTTGGACATATTTCTAAACTGCTTTCCAGAATAGTTGGACTGGTTCACAGCTCTACCAACAGTGTAGTAATGACCTTATTTTTATTAAATATTGCTGTCTTAACTCCTCAATTAAATCGTAAGTTATTTATGGACAGAAATGCTACTTTCTATTTCACATCCCCTAACACTGCCAAAGCACAGGACTTACTATAATGTAGATGCCCATTACTTTAAAAATGAATGGAACTGAGTATTAGTGGACTATCTGTGTCCAATAACAAATAAGAAAGTTCATATTTTTTAAAAAAAATCAGTTGGCACACTTCCACTTTTCCTTTAGTGTCTAATGATTAATCTTAAAGGCAACTGACTCAGTGAAAAATGACTATTCAAATGTTTTCATTTGGCTTCTCTGAAAAATATTTATCTTTAGGGAACTCATCCACTTGTATAGCAGTGATTCTTTACTCCTAAAATGCTGATGGATATTGGTGACCCAGGCTTGAGTACTCACTTCTTTAAGTCTACACATTGGGAATTCAGCAAGCAGCTTATGCTCAGTTTGCTGTCATCCAGGCTCTTTCAGTATTCTCCCTCCAATCAACCACTAGTAGGTGATATATTGGTGACTTACTTGCCGATGGCAATGAAACCTGCTATCATTTTACTGAAACATAGGAGTAAAGATCCAGAACTGAAAGAACCCTAGCTGTTATAAACCCCTCAAACAAATTTGGAAATTGAGGCACAAAGAAGTAATATGATTTGCCCACTGGAGAGTTTTGCTATGTTTCCCAGAGGCTTTCATTACCCTCTCATCTTTCCCACTCCTCTCACTCACCTGGAGGGCCCTGACCTCCAGGTTGACCAGGAGGCCCTGGCAGGTAGGTGTTTGAAGCCAACAACTTGTCAACAGTGATATGCTTGCCCAGGTCAGCGGCATTGTTCGGAAGCAGTGCAATCTGGAAAGAGGGTAATGTACCACTGTTAGAAAGGAGAGGTTCATGGGTTTGTGTAAGATCTTGACACTTGCTTGTTGTGAAAGCAGTTGTGTTCCCAGTGCAAAGAACCAGAGAAACCTAAGACTGGATGGAACCCTAGGGATCATCTAGTCCTACTTTTTCATTTTAATTAATGAGAAAATTTAGTACCAGAGAGATGGAGTGACTTACTCAGAATCACACAGCTAAAGGTCACCAGAGTTAGTGGTGCAGTCAAGCTAGAACCAAAGTCTCTTTTGGAAAAGGTCTGGAATTCTGGGACTTATCCTCATTGGCCAGCTGACAGAACCTAATTCTCTCTGGGACTAGGACCTGTGATGAAGCTTAGAGTAACATCTGAACACTCAGTAATAACTTTCGGTAATATTGTGAAGCAAGTGACATTTATTTGTAAAATCTCACTTTTCCTTTACTTTGTAGTATCCTCCCTTCCTTTCACCCTTAACCTGGAAGACTCTTGATGCTTTCTATCCATAAGGTCCACTCCATACTTATATTCCACTGGACAAGCTAGTATCCCATGCTCTAGACATTCTCCTCCTTGCCATATTTCATCACTGCTCACATGTCCTATAACTTATTTCTTTAGGGTTCTACTTCCTTCTATGGTTTATGTGAGAAATTAATTCAAGCAGTAGATATTACTAATTAGAATAATCTGTGCTTTTATTATATTACATATTATATCATTATATTACATATTACATTATCATATCACTTGTATTATATTTTATATTATATTATTATATTACATATAATATTATTATATTAAATATAATAAATAACATAATATATATGATAGTATATGATTTATAATGTATATCTTGTATTTACTTGTAAGTGTACTTGTTGCAACCCCCTTCAGTAAAACATAAGGTCCTTGAGGACAGTGACTATAAAATTATTGTCATTTTATCTCCAGAGACTAGCATAGTGTCTTACACATAGTAGGTGCTTAACAGGTGTTCACTGAACTGGATTGACTTGATGGCAGGGAATAGCATGAACTCTTTCCAGAAAATAAATGAGGTTCATAAAGCCTTTGTGCAATGTTTAAACTTTAAAGCTTTAATAGCTCAGCCCGTCATTCACCAAAGTATTCTTTCAATATCTCCTCAGAGTTAGAGGTCACCCTGGATTCTCAAATGTTAAGCATTAATTTAGATCATGTGTTTAGACCAAGAAGGGACCTCAAAGGTCATCTTGTCCAACCTCTCCATTTTATAGATGAGAAAACTGAGGCCCAAAGAGATTAAGTGACTTACCAAGATTATAAATGTAATGTGTCAGTGCAAGAATTTGAACCCCAGGTTCTCTGACTCCAACTTCATTGTTCTTTCCACTGTGTCACATTACTTCAACCTCCTCACTTTAAAGATGTGGAAACTGAGACCCAAGGAAGTTGAGACTTGCCAAGGTCACACATTTGAACCAAGGTTTTGTGACTCCAAATCCACCATTCCCATGTTGCAACATGTTATACTGAGCCATCAATGGAGCACAAGCAGAGTACTCCAACCTGGAAAGCCTTTGTGGTTGGGTGTGGTGATAGGCCCTCAGTTACCTATCACCTGAGGATCAACCTCAAATTCAGAGAGGTTCATAGCCAGAAGACAGGCTGCCTGGTGACTTTTTGGCCATCATCAGTCTTGAAAAACAAAGGCTAACAATTTTCATCAATAGAGAGCTGGCCCACCCACAATCAACGAAATCACAAATCTTTCTGTGTATTAAAGTAACTTGGGTCCTATGTACGACGGAAGTAATCTGTCAAAAATTCAAATTCCAAATTCCCTTTACAGCTTTTAAAAGAAAGTTGAATTTTATGCTAATAACTGAGACAGACTTTAATTCCTTTTGACCCAAATTATGGTAGCCTTTGTTTTTCACGTGACAGAGAATAGAGGAAACAGTCTGTAAAGTAGTTACTTTAAACTTTAATAGATGTGCTTTGCCACACTATCAACAGTTCTTATCCTATCTAGAACCTAAGTTCCTCAAATTTATAGGTGTGTTAGGATTTTCTAAAGACTTTTATATGCAGTTTGCCACAGACCCTAACATGTAACCCAAAGGAGTTAAACACTCAGAGGAGGCTGGTTGGCTCAATGGATATAGCACTGGACTTGGAGGTAGGAAGACCTGAGTTTAAATCCTATCTCAAACACTAGCTAAGTGACCCTGGTTAAGTTACTTAATCTACTTCAGTTTTCTCATCTATAAAATGGGGATAACGATAGCACCTATCTCCCAGTTGTTGCAAGGATGAAATAAGAATATTTGTAGAGTGCTTTGCCAACCTTAAAGTGCTATAGGATTGTTAGTATTATTATTATTCGCTACTTAGAATAATTAAGAGCGAGAATTCCAGGGGGATCTGTGACCATGAGGCCAGTGAGGAAGACATTTTTGATAAGTCAACCTCTTAAATTACAACAACTATGTGGCTATATATTCCATCCACAATATTCTGTCACATTATGGCTAGTCATCAATAGAATGCCTTATTTTTTATGAAAATGGAACTGGTTATAAATGCTCCAAACTACCTTTCGGTGGCACAAATCAGGTAATATAAAGGTGAGAAAGATTGTCACATGAGCTCCACTGAACACAGATCTGCTAGACCAACTTGGACATGTGAAGTCTGAGGGTCAGAGGTCCTCCAGGGAGAAGACTCCAGACAGTGAGTTCCAAGTCCCCTAGGGGCTTCTCAGGTGGGGGGAGGGAGGGCAGTGATGAACTCTAGACTAGGAGATAGTTCCAAGATAGTGATAAAATCAGCTCTCTGAAACTGATTAACTTTCCTACACATGCCCTGAGAAACTGGACTGGACCTGACTGAAAGATATTGGAGTCCCCTGGGCCAGGATCTGGTGCAGGCTGGGAGAGGGACTCACCCTAGACCATATCCAGACCTTCAAGATCCCTTAAGCCTCCAAAGCCACCTTGGAATCTAAGTAGGTAACTATGGGCATATGTGCTTGGTTCAGAGGAGCCTTACATTTTTAGCTATAGCAAGTATCATTGTGAAAAAGTGGCCAGGAAACAGGGCAAGTCTTTTGGTGACTTTTGGACATGGAATTACTGAGATACAATCTGTTATTTTAAGCATTGGGTGCTTTCTCTGTAGTATTGGCCAAAAACAGGATAACCATTTTAGGGTAGTCACTTTTCATTTTCCATTTTCTTGTTCAGATTATCTACTTCTCTCTTTGTCTTTGCCTTAAATTTCACACTAAAGTTCTAGGAGACTTGTGATGCAATCCACAGGAAAGATGCTACACACGATAAATCTAGAACTCATCTCCCGGCCGCTATTTCAAATATACTATGTACAACACTACACATTGGGGAATTGATCTCTACAGTAAAACAACATGGAAACACAATCAAAAGATAGCCAGGAGGTCTTGCATAGACTCCAGGGAAAAGTATCAAAGATAGTAAATGCATCTGTTGATCCATAGACGGAATACTAGGGCAAACATTATTAAGTTTGAATAACATGTAGGTAGGACTGTGAATTTTCTGCTGCCAAAAGACTTTCACTGTGGTGAAAGACACTTCTATCTTTCTATTGTTTATTTTTGGCATCAAGTTCTGCAATGTTTACATTCAACATTTTCATTATGAAACATGATTCTGAGAATTACTACTGGTATTATTATTCTCCACCCACAAGGGATCTTTTTGAGTGTAATGTTCTTGTGATATCTTTTTACAAGCTGACTGTTTCCTTTGCTCATGGAAATATACTATCCTACCAGTGGAATAAACTTGAGATTCATGAACGGTAAGCTAACCATATTTACATTAAACACCTCTATTATGAACATGACTCTGAATATAATAAATGTTTGCATGTCAGGCTGTCACATAAGGCTGTCATAACTTGTTATGAAGAAGTTAGTGCAAAGTAAATTCTTTTTTTTTTTTTGCTTTTTGGTGAGGCAATCAGGGTTAAGTGACTTGCCCAGGGTCACATAGCTCATAAGTGTCAAGTGTCTGAGGCCTGATTTGAACTCAGGTCCTCCTGACTCCAAGACTAGAGCTCTATCCACTGTGCCACCTAACTGCCCCTCTTTCTTTGTGAGGCAATTGGAGTTAAGTAACTTGCCCAGGGGCACACAGCTAGTAAGTGTCATGTCTGGTCTGAGACTGGATTTGAACTTAGGTCCTCCTGACTCCAGGGCTGGTGCTCTATCCACTGCACCACCCAGTTTCCCCCACACAAAGTAAACTCTAACCGGACCTTTAGAAAATTGGGGTCAAGCTCAGGGGTCATTTAATGATAAACCTGTGCTCAAATTCATGGCCATAGGCTGGCCTCCTCACCCCGGTCAGCCATTCTGCAAATGTGTAACTTTGGTCTCAAGAATGACAGAAAGAGAATATGTAGATTAATCTGGTGAATTCTTTCTCCACTACGGGAAAACAAAGACTTAAAACACACGTCCTATTAACAGAGGTGGGGCTAGGGGAATAGTGTCACCTGAAAGCACTAAATTCTATCTTTACTTGCTTCCTGGTGAAAGAAACAAATATGAAGAATAAGGGATTCTTTGACAGGGTAGAGTGGAAAGAGCACTAGCCTGGGAATTGGAAGACTTGGGTTCTACACTCATAGACGTAGAGCTGGGAGCAACTGTAGAGGTCATTTAATCCAACCCTTCTCATTTGATAGATGAGGCTCAGACAGGCAAAGTGTCTTGCCCCAAATCACACAAGTACTATGAGGTAAAGACAGGATTCAGGCTCACTGATGGTAAAAGTCCACCATTCTTTCTATTGCACCGTGCCAGTCTGACTTCTATCACTTACTAATAGGTTACATCCCTTCCCCTATCTAATGTCTCACTTCCATCACCTGTAAAATAAAGGGACTGTGTCATCAGGGGTTCTGAACCTGGAGTCCATTACTTTGTTTTTTGTATTTTGAAAACTGTATTTAAATATAA